GGGGGGGTGGGGGAGGCATCGTGCTGCTCCGTGCGCACACCATACCTGGGACCACACGGCTAAGCCCAAAAGGCCGTTCTACTTGGTGTGCTCTGCAAAGCAAACCACGGACACAGTCCATTTTAGAGACAGGCTCTTACAGCGCGCAGCTCTACTGGTGGTACCGCTGGGCCTCCGCTTCTCACCTGTAAGGATAAGGGGAGTCTGCCCCCAAGGTGCTTTGAGTGAGACAGTGTGCACAGTGCGCCCGGCTAGTCCATGGTACGAGCTCAGTAAACGGGATGTATTGTTATCGTGGGATTTATAGGAGCCAAACGATGACGGGGGACTAGGGCCACACGGCAGAAGGCAAGTTCTGTCCCCCACACTCGGCCTGAGAAAGTGTGGCCACGCTTAAAATAGATCAGAACTAGGCCTATCCCACAGGGCTGAAATAGTTGTGCAAGTTAGTAAACAGTAAAAACTTGTCTATCTAGAATGGCTTCTCTGAAGAGCATACATAACATATTTTATGCTTTAATTATGAAAATGGGAAAAACCCGTGTCATAGGCAGGTTAAGTCCTATTTTTGGAGGCTGTCTTGAGGCTGAGAGGAGCAATCCGATCCGTCGGCTCCTCAAACAGGGCCATACACGGCAGCCGGTACAGCTTTAGAAGGAGGGCGCGCCATCTACACTCACGGTCATGGCCATGGAATTTTAATAACACTCTGGAATTCCAGGACTCAGTCTTTGAGCCAAGTGTCTTGAAACCCGACTTCAAGAATTCCTGGGGAACTCTTCTTCCTGGTGAGCATCACCAGGATCTTAAATGTCAGGCAAAGCAAAACTACACGCTCACAGAAACCCACTGATTCTCTCCTCAGCTCCGCTGCGGCTTAAATGAGACCCCTCAGGGCAACATAATTCAGAAGCTTGGGTGTTTAAAATGTCCCACTGCGCGGCTCTCACTGGGCTCGCCTTCCTTTCCCCTCCCCCCATCCCTTGTTCCCATCCTGTGTTTGCTGAAACTCGTGTAACGTCCTGGTCTCTGAATCTTTGGGCCCCTTAATAAACGTGTGTCACTTTTTTGTTCAAACTCCCGACATCGTCAGGGTCTTAATTTCCTCCGCCAGGTAAGAGTTCACTCTTTAATCCCTGTAGGAAGGTGCATGAAGAACCATCGCCTACCTGTGGGCAGATAAAGCCCGCCCCGTACATGACGCTCCTTATGGACGAAGGCAGAGCCTCCGCGGGAATGAGACCCTCTGCGAAGACCATCATGAAGTTACTGAAGAAGGTTAAGTGGAAGAGTTGGAAGAAATTCATTATCAGAAAGAGGCAAAAGTTCCTCTGGGTCAGGATTTGTCCCATCAGCGAGATGACGGAGGTCCAGGGGAGCTCTAGTTCGCTTTCTGAGAAAAGGGTGTCCTTGGGGCTTCTTTTGGGTTCGAAGCGACCCAGGTGGAACAGGCCCGCGTAGAGGCTAGCAGCTGCAAGCACGGCAATGACAACAGTGACGGCCTGAAAACTGGGCACAATGTCCATGTTGGCAGAGAGGAGGCCACAGACGAGGACGCTGGTAGAGCCTACCAGCGTGGCCACCTGGTTGGTTTGAATGAGCTGCAGCCGGCTTTCATGTCTAGTGTGAATCTCTACGAACCAGGTGCACTGGGCTTGCTGGACAAAGGTGAGCGTGCTGTCGAAAGCACACAATGACACCACCAGGTGAAGTCCACTGAGCCAGTCCCCTGCGCCATAGTGTTTCCAAGGGAACCAAGGGAGCAGGAAGGCCACTGCACAGAAAGGGGCGGCATACAACACGCATGGGTGACGATAGGAGCAGCAGTCGGCCCTTGAGTTGTGAAAATACCCAGTCAGGTTATTGACAGCATTCCAGACCATTGAAATTACCTAGGAGAAAACACACACACACACACACACACACACAGAGGATTATTTTAGTGTATTAGTGTAGAGGATTAGTAGTGTATACTGATGAAAATGACCCCTGAATGTGCAGCAGCCAAAACTCATCAGTGGGGGGGAAAAAGGCTCATTGCTCTAAGGACCAGCAGGGGGCGCAGCTGCTGATCTAGGAATAATAACAGCAGCTAATACCACGGAAAGAGCCAGCGTGAGGTTCACCCCGTGTTCAGGCATCCTTGCACCAGTGAATTCTTTCACCACATCCTTACAACAGTCCTAAGCCGCAGGTACTATCATTATCCCTGCTCTACAAATGAGGAAACTGGGGGCCAGAGGAGCAACCTGCAAGGGCCGGGGTCGGAGCCACGGGGGATGGAGAGCACCCAGAGTTGGTGCTTTGAGTGGTTATGCGAGATGGCCTCCCCACGAGGCACACAGGGTCACGCCTCAGCAAAGAGTGGGGGCCTGTGTATACATACCGCAGCATAGTTTTACGTAATGTCATTAGGAAAGGTTAAAATATCAGCGTTTGCTATCCAAGACCATGAGCGGAGTTACAGTCCAGTTGGTGAACACCACGGGACTTCCTGAGACACAGGCTATCTTAATAATGGCTTGCTCCACATAAGTGACTTTCCCAGATCACCAATGCTTACCCTCTAAACTCTTAAGCATTTACATTTTAAGGGGCAATCTTTTACGAATCTCCACAGAGGATCGTGGACATGGATAACCTTTTCTTGATACTTAATTCTTCAGCTGTGTGAAGAGTCGGCTCTTGGGACAATCACAACAATGCACAACTATGAGGGAAAAAAGTCCACCGACTTGGGTCAAAGGACAGGGAGGGCCCCACCTCACCTGGGCTTGGTGGAAAGCCACTTCTGAAATCTTGTACAGGTGGAGGAAAAGCTTCACGTAGTAGAAGCTGAAGACAGAAGTTAGCATTTCAGACCCTAATGTTATCATGGCATATGCCCAGGCAATGGGCTTGGGACTTAAAAGTGTCATTTTCCATGCAGAGGAATTCTTCTTCCTTTTGTTAAAAAAAAGAAAAAAAAGGAAAATGGTTAAAATTCACTATTTCCATGCAATAGCTGATGGGTGGCAAAATTCCACTGGACACTAGTTAATTTTAGTTAAACACGAGTCCCCCTAGCTGTGAATCTGTAATGACTTAACACTTCACTCAACATTTTTTGAGATGTTGCCAGGAACCCTAATTTGCATAGGGCATGGCCCTATGTGACTATATTTTTACTATTTCTTCTAACTTATAAACATGAGATTTATCCAAGAGTTTGGGCACGCTGAACTCGTGGCCAGGGACGTGCATTTATGGCATTATGACCCTCCCTATCTGGGAGGGTACACTAGAAAAAGGAACAAACAATGAGGTGACATCCTTTAGCTAAAGCCAGAGAGAAGGAATTGAAGCAAGCCCTTCCTTTTAGTAGAAAGCTGCCCGTTGAGTATTATAGACTTGCATTGGAAGATTTAGTCTTTTTTTCTCCTGACAGGCTATATAACTTTGGCCCAAAGGACGTGCCTAAGATGGACGTAGAAAAAACACATTTTGGTCCTTGCTCTGATGTAAACGTCCCTCTTAAATCTGGCCTGTTGTCTTATCCTTTTAGTGACTTGATTTACCAAAGTGGGAAATAGGAAAAGGTTAGCCAAGCTGGAGGTAGGTATGGAGTCATCTTCCTTTTCATCTTGATGATAGTTTTAAGATAACGCCATGATTTTCCTGTGTTATCCAGCCGTACTGGAATATTTGGCCAGGCCTCTACCTCCTCACTCAATCAGAAAACGGATAAATATTCAGATACCTCGAGAGATGTAACGTGCTTGAATGATTGATGCCTGGGAACTAAGGAGACACCGCAGCCTGTATCGCCCACTTTCTTAGGGAAGGAAGGGCACTTTAGAGGTATGCAGACAGCATGTGGCTCAACTGATCCTAGTACCTAAGTCCCTGAGCGTCACTTTGCATTGGGAAGATCCAAGAATGATTCCAATTCTATGGGAAACAGGGCCCTAGAATTTCAAAAGGGCTTGTTAAACTTCCGTGCAGACCAAGTAGTGTCTATAGACTGAACACAGAATATATTGCCCATATGTGTACTAGGATTCTTACAAGGTTTGCAGATGCTGTTGTAATAAGATCATACAAATCTGAGTGGTTTTTTTGTCATTATGCTCCGACACTTGCAATATGGAAGTACTAGCGTGTGGAAGTCAGCCAACATTTTTGGCTTTCAATATAAATTCTCAGATTTGAAAACGCTGGGAACTACTGGCGAAGCCCTCACTCTAGGGAGTCGCTTTTGGCATAAGTGAGAATGAAGATTGAAGCTAGCGGTCACTGGGTTACTAAGAAAGCTCAAAACAAGGGAGTTAGAAAAACCAAAAGCCAAGATACACATTTAGCCCACCAAAACCTAGACGCCCTTCTTTTCCTTTTAGTTCAGGCGTGTTAAAACAAGAAGCATGCCACGCCTCCTGAACTGATCTATCATTAAGTCAGAAGGCAGCTATTTGCAAAGTCAGAATTTTGCAAAGGGTCATAAGCTTGCTGAGTGGAGAGCACATGTTCAAAAAAGAATTAGAGTTAAGCAGCCATCCTG